AAGTTTCTAACCATCACAATTCAGTGAAGTACAAAACATTAAGTTACTGGCTGTGGGAAAAGAAGGCAGCACCCATGGTGGCACCTTCCAATCTGGTTGTTCTAAGGGCAGGGCGGAGAGGAAGGTCTTTTTTTAACCAAGCCCCTCATTTCAATGTACAAAAGAATTACTCTGATCAATATTAAATTGGATTGAAAACAAAATGGACTAAAAAGCAAATCCTACTCTATGTTGGGGTGGAAGTGGGAGGAAAGAATGAGTCCTTCAAAGCAAGAAGGGAGACAGCTGGGGAAGGTTCTGTGGCTGTGACCCAAGGTGGTCACTCACGCTGCTCCATTTTTACTTTCGGTGGTCTGAGGAAGGTCCGATTTTTCTTCTCTTTCTTCCCCTTTGTATTTGCTTGAAAGTTTCGCCAGCTGTCCACACGACCATCTCGACTTTCCTAAGCACAAAAAAGTGTGAGGTGAGGAGACCATTAGAAAAAGGACCTGAACTTGCCCTACCATCCACCCAGTCTAGCCTTCTGGAAAAATCCAAGAGTAGAAGAGAACAGAGCTTTTCTCCCACTCCCTAAGGCCCAGGCAAATGTCACAGCACCCCTAGAAAGTAGGGTGTGCTACAGGTTGGAAGAGAACAAAATGAGAAACACTCATCACATCAACAAGGCCCAATTTGCTGTGGACCTCTGGGCTAGATGTTTACCCTGTTATCTCTCATTTTCACAAAAAGCAGACGATGGTGTGTTAAGGCACCAGCAATTTCACAAACGTTAACACCGAGGCTCAGAGAGGTGAAAAGCCATACAGCTCAAAAAGCCAGTATGAAAAGCCATACTTTCTCAAAGCCATATAGCTAGCCAGCAGTACAGACACTCTTCCCCCCAATTTGGATGACGGCTCCAAAGCCAGCATAATACCTAACTGGTTGTGCTTAAGAGGGCCACTGGGATCTCCACCTCATAATGAGGGCTATTCATATTCTCTTTTCATATTTGAATTGGGACAAAGACAAAGTCATCACCTTTGTTTTTTTTAACAGAGACAGAGTCCCATTTTATCATCTTTGGTAGAGGTCTGTGGCGTCACACAGCTCATAGCAACCTCCAGCTCCTGGGCTTAGGAGATTCTCTTGCCTCAGCGTTCCAAGTAGCTGGGACTACAGGCACCTGCCACAACGCCCAGCTATTTTTTTGTTGAAGTTTGGCTGGGGCTGGGTTTGAACCCGCCACCCTCAGTATATGGGGCTGGCGCCATACCCACTGAGCTACAGGTGCCGCCCAAAGTCATCACCTTTGGTTAGGCAACCCTTACCCTGAATCCTAAATCCTATAGAAGACCAAATGTTGCTATAATCCAGAAATTGGCCAAACACCTGAAGGATGTAACCAGGGTGTCAAAGAAGAGTCAAATTCAAAAGATACATGTATAAGTCTCTCTGCAGGCAGAACACTGGGGTCAAAACAACTCTCGTTTCTACTAATAGACTTCTAAGCAGAGGGCTACTCCTACATTCATTCCCTAAGTTAAACATGCAATCCATTTTTCTTCTTTTTGTTTTAGAGACAGGGTCTCATTCTGTTGCCCAGGTTCGAGTGCAGTAGCACAATTAGCTCACTGCAGTTTTGAACTCCTTGGCTCAAGCAATTTTCCTGCCTCCACAGATGTGCACCACCACACCTTGCTAATCGCAATCCATTTTTCTTGATCCCAGCTGGCAGCTGTGCCTACCACAGTCTCTCAAAATCCTTCCCAAGGCTCTCACTGCTCTTCACAAGGCTGCAGAGCTTCTAGGAGGCTGAGCTAGGAACAGATTCATACTCCATAGTTCCCACTCTGCCTCACATGTCCCACTTCCCTCTGCCTGCCTGCCTCAGTCAGTCCTGTGAATGCTACAAGAACCAAGTTTCCTTATTCTGAAAAAAGAATCCTTGGCCACCTTGGACATTTTTTTTTTTTTCAGTGACACAGTCTCATTGTCGTCCTTGGTAGAGTGCCATGGCATCACAGCTCACAGCAACCTCCCAGCTCTTCCACTTAGGGGATTCTCTTGCCTTAGCCTCCCAAGTAGCTGGGACTATAGCCGCCTGCCACAATGCCTGGCTACTTTTTTGTTGCAGTTTGGCCAGGGCCAGGTTTGAACCTGCCACCCTTCGTATATTGGGCCAGCGCCCTACTCACTTGAGCCATAGGCACCGCCCAGCCACCTTGGAAATTTACCTCAAAGTTTTTCTGCCACTCTCTTTCTCGTTTGGCTTTTTCTTGAGCTTCAATCTCTTCTTCCCTTTGTCGTTTCCTAGGAGGAAAACCAGACCACAGTATTGATAGAATGTGTTAACCATACATGTTAAGGCATCTCACCACAGAAGTACACATACATAATAAATCAATTCTCCAGAAGTCTATAAATACGGATGTCTGGTAAGGGCTCAAAGCCCTTTGGTGAATGTCTCCTTAAAACATGCAGATGAGGGGTTGTGCCTGTGGCTCAGAGGAGTAGGGCACCAGCCCCATATGCCAGGGGTAGCAGGTTCAAACCCAGCCCTGGGCAAAAACCATAAAAAAAATAAAAAAATAAAAATAAAAATATGCAGATGAGACTGTGGGCAGAAGTGTGGGAAAAGAACTATCTCTGTTACCAAGGTAGATAAATAAGGTAATCAAAGCCCAATGAATAGTAATCTGAGGTTTTTGGCTAAGTCAGTGATAAAGCTATATGGAGAATACAGGCTACCTTATCTCAACAGAATGACCATTATAACAGTAGAAGTTCTTTTCTGTCCCCCTAGCTAGAATGCTGTGGCATCAGCCTAGCTCACAGCCACCTCTAACTCCTGGGTGCAGGCAATTCTCCTGCCTCTGCTTCCTGAGTAGATGGAATACAGGCATGGGTCATAACACCCAGCTAATTTTTCTTTTTTTTCTTTCTCTTTTTATTGAGACAGAGTCTCACTTTGTCACCCTCAGTAGAGTACTGTGACATCACAGCTCACAGCAACCTCAAACTCAGGCTCAAGCGATTCTCTTGCCTTAGCCTCCCTAGTAGCTGGGACTACAAGTGCCTATCACAATGCCCGGCTATATTTTTTTATTTGTTTAGCAGGACCAGACTGGGATCGTACCCACCATCCCCAGAGCATGTGGCTGATGCCCTAACCACTGAGCATGGGTTTCCTAATTTTTCTATTTTTAGTAGAGATGTGGTCTCAATCTTGCTAAAGCTGGTCTCAAACTCCTGAGCTCAAACAATCCTCCCATCTCATTCTCCAACTAGAGAATGCTAGAGTTATAGGTGTGCTAGAGTGCTAGAATTATAGGTGTGAGCCACCATACCCAGTGACAGCAGCAGTTGTTAAGACAATCTCTGGACAAAACCCTATCCCAAAGGAAGACATTTTACACAACCACCTCAACTAGCAATATTTAGTTATTAACTAAATACCAATTAACAATACAAAATATGCAAAGCAATACTTCTGATGTTCAAAAGAAATCATACTTTAGATGACTTAGCTAGTTTAGAGCAATATTTTAGTCAACACATTTTACAATACTATTAATATATACTTACCAAAGTTATAGGCACTAGTCCCACCAAAGGTTCCAGCCTCACTAATAATAGCCTCAGCAGCTAAGGCACCAGCCACATCCAGTGGAGCTGATGGGTTTGAACCAGCCCGGGCCTGCCAAACAATGACAACTACAACAAAATAGCCGGGCGTTGTGGCAAGTGCCTGTGGTCCCAGCTCCTTGGGAGGCTGAGGCATGAGAACTGCTTAAGCTCAAGAGTTTGAAGTTGCTATGAGCTGTGACGCCACGGCACTTTACTGAGGGCAACACAGTGAGACTCTGTCTCAAAAAAAAAAAAATAGTAATAGCCTCAAGAACTCAGCCTCAGGCCAGGCACAGTAACTTACACCTAAAATCCTAACACTCTGGGAGGCTAAGGCAGAAGGATCGCTTGAGGTCAGGAGGTTAAGACGAGCCTGAGCAAGAAAGAGACCCCCATCTCTACTAAAAATAGAAAAAATTAGCCAGGCACTGTGGTACATGTCTGTAGTCCCCAGCTACTCAGGAGGCTGAGGCAGGAGGAATGCTAAACCCAAGAGTTTGAGTTTGCTATGACGTAGCCTAGGCTAGGCAATGGCACTCTAGCTCAGGCAACATAGCAAGACTCTTGTCTCTGTCTTCAAAAATAAAAAAGGAACATAGCTTCTTTCACTTCAGGAAATTAGGAAGAAAATACAGTATAGGCAATTCCTAGGTTACAACTGAGATTGGTTCTACAGGTTTGTTCTTGAGTTGAATTTGTATGTAAGTTGGAACAGGTACATTTACCTATTACCTTCAACAGCCTCCATTCATAAGTTTGAGTCGTATGTTAGTCAGATATTTGTAACTTGGAGACTTACTGTAATAGCTGTTTCTAAGTGGGAGCTGCACGTAAGTCGAATATTTGTAACTCAAGGACTGTGTATACTCTTGATTATAAATAAACTCCCTAAGGACGTATCTGCTCAATATTTCCGAAAGGTCAAAGAGAAAACATCTTACCCTGGTGACTCAAAAGCTTGACTGTTTCAGACATCTATATTAACAGTCTATTAAATGATGTACATTAATTTCTTCTTCAGAAAAATCCCCAAAGACCAATGTTAGTTAATGTAAGTATTTAGACACAGTTTAAATGAATTTATTGACATATACCTTTCATGCATCTCTTTGGCTTCTCTCTCTTTCCTTTTAATTTCCAGCTCAGCAAAGAGTTTCATGGTCTGTTTATATACCGCTTGTTTGAACTATAAGAAAATTAAGAACAAAAAAAAAAAATAAATATTCTGCCAGCAACAAGAATCAAATACTTTCAGCTGGAGCTCAAGATAAAGCAGATTAGAACCTGGCAAGGGAAAAATGTTCTTCAAAGAGGACCACTTAATGATGCTGCCTCTTTTAGGAGATAACACATCCACCAAAGAGATCTTTTTTTTTTTTTTTTT